GCATAAAAGTGACACAGAAAATCTGGCCCTATGTTTGCATCTTGCCAAACTTCATTTTGGAGAGTATCAAAAAGGAAAAGTTGCCAGGCCAAGGGGAAGGTGGACCTTTTGCCTTAAGAGATAGTGGTTCTTACAAGACCATCTTTGGCCTGCCACAAAACACACAATAAGATTTATATTCCTGTTAACTAAATCAATCAATAAACTTACTACTTGTTCTGAATATTTTTGTATGAGTCTAGAGATAGATAAGAAAAAATAATGGCTTTTCAAAGAACTAAATCCAACGTGTAATGCACATTGGGAAAAATAACCCCAACTATACGTACAATATGATGGGGGCTAATTTAGCTACAACTAATCAGGAAAAGATCTTTGAGTCATTGTGGATAGTTCTCTGAAGACGTCTAAGCAGTGTGCAGTGGCAATCAAAAAAGCAAATAGGATGTTAGGAATCATTAAAAAGGGGATAGAGAATAAGATGGAGAATATCTTATTGCCCTTATATAAATCCATGATATGCCCACATCTTGAATACTGCATACAGATGTGGTCTCCTCATCTCAAAAAAGATGTACTGGCATTAGAAAAGGTTCAGAGGGCAACTAAAATGATTAGGGGTTTGGAACAGGTCCCATTTGAGGAGAGATTAAAGAGGCTAGGACTTTTCAGCTTGGGAAAGAGGAGACTAAGGGGGGGATATGATCAGGGCCGGCTCCAGGCACCAGCAGAGGAAGCACGTGCCTGGGGCGGCACATGCTAAGGGGCGGCATTCCGTCCATTCTTGGGGCGGCACAGTCCGAGCGCCTTTTTTTTTCCTCCGCAATTGGGGCGGCTTTATTTATTTATTTATTTATTGCTTGGGGTGGCAAAAATGGTAGAGCCGGCCCTGGATATGATAGCGGTATATAAAATCATGAGTGATGTGGAGAAAGTAAATAAGGAAAAGTTATTCACTTGTTCCCATAATATAAGAACTAGGGGCCACCAAATTAAATTAATGAGCAGCAGGTTTAAAACAAATAAAAGGAAGTTCTTCTTCACACAGTGTACAGTCAACCTGTGGAACTCCTTGCCTGAGGAGGTTGTGAAGGCTAGGCCTATAACAGGTTTTAAAAGATAACTAGATAAATTCATGGAGGTAAAGTCCATTCATGGCTATTAGCCAGGATGGGTAAGGAATGGTGTCCCTAGCCTCTGTTTGTCAGAAGGTGGTGATGGACGGCAGGAGAGAGATCACTTATGTTCTAGATGATCAGGATGGAGTCTTCATAAAATTTCACCCTTCACGTGATAATCTCATCTACACACAACGCAGACCGAAAACGTCTGATTCAGATTTCATTTACCCTTGTGTTAATCAGGAACAACTGTAATGAATATAATGGAGTGACACCAGTGTAAAATCAGTGTGAGAATCAGGCAGTGTGTAGGGGGTGGGGACAAGACATTATGCACGTTCTCGCCACTAAAAAATATGGAATAGTTTGCTGGGATGGCTACAGGAGCACATGAAGCTCCCAGAGAAACAAAATGAAAGAACAAAACAGGCACATCAGTAACCTTCTGCATTCTTGTGGTGCATTTGCCCTGGGCCACAGAATGACCAAAGGCCACTTTGCCCTATTTTGGGAGTAGTAGGAGCAGGGCTGCTGATACTTCTGTCTCCTTGTCTGTCACATCAGCTGCCACCATAACAAACCTTGGATCACATTCCACTGATTAACCAGTAGGAGGTGTTCAAGAAAGCATGAATCTGAAAGCATGAATCTCTATGATAGTCTTGGCCAATCAGATGAGTTGGAGTCCAAAGGTCCTTCCTGAAGCTGGCTGTTCCACATGGTAGTGCAATAGCTGCCTGCAAGCTGGGCACCAACTTTTCCTGCATCATCTTTGTTTTAATGACTTTCATAAAAGGAGAAAAGAAAACATGCTTAGTGCAGCCAGTGGAGACCACAGTGCATGCCCCTGTACCAGGCTCCAGTGGGACATTGGTCAGGTCTGATGAGCTGAATACGTGGGCGTTGGAGAAATGGCTTCTCTGTCAGTGAAACATTTATAACACGCTGTATTTGTGCTGCCTCTCATTGGAGGCTGGTTTACTGATAGGAGTGTCAGGTAGAAATGAAGCCTTTCCATTTTTCACATGAACAGATGCTTGTGGTGAGTTATTTGTGAATTGACAAACTGACATATTTGTCACTCCTAGACATATTTTTCATCTGTCCATTCCTTCATACATTGCTTCTGCCAAAGAGCCCTGGTTCTAGGAAAGCATCTGCCTGGCTGTAGAAGGGACTTCATATCTAGCTCTCCAAACTCCACTCCACACAACTGAAGTCAACATTTTCCCTTCTCTGCCGACCGAAGTCAGTGGAGCTGGTGGAACTGAGAGAACCATTTACACTGGTGAAACTGAGAAAAGAATTCAGTGTAGTATGTTTTCAAGGCTGTTGTAACAATTCATTCTTGTGATTTTGCATGTGATTTGGGCTGCAAACAGGGGTTAAAATAAGGGAGAGCATGGGGAAGCACAACTCCTCCCTCTTCTCCCTCACACTGGCTTGAGGGAGCCAGTCACCCCTCCCACATACTGGCTCTCCCTCCTCCATGGCTGGTGAGATGAGGACTCATCTGAATTGGGGGCAACAGGCAAACCTGACACCTATGTGGGGATTTGCTGGGGCTCCCTGCCTGCCAGCAGAAGAGGTGGCAGCAACTAATGGTGGAGAATGAGGAATTTCAGCTCAGAATTCTCTATCCATCTCTTCCCTCTCACAGGTGTATCTGACCCCTGCTGAGTCCCTGTCCCCTTCAGCAGAGAAGAGACTTTCCTCCATCAGCTTCTTCTCCCCTCAAATGTAAGTAGTTGCATCAGGTACTTCATTGTTTTCAGGGGAGGAACCCTATGGCTTCATTTTTTTATCTGTATTTTTTATTCATAAAGATTCTCCATCTCAGCTGAATCTACATTGCAACATTTATTCAAAGGGGATGTGCCCTACACCCTCTCAATAGATGTATCCAATAATCTGTTTTACTCCCTATGGACTTGTTTGGGGACATGGATACTTGTCTTCTCTTGTCCCACTCTCTTCCTCTTGTTTCACCCAGTTCCCACGAGCTAATGCCATTCTACAGCACTACCTGTGATGACAACCACCAAAACTGGGGCACTCCCCTTCTATTTCAATCTATGTTACTATAATCAAAGCGCTGCATGACGACAGGTTCCAACGTATTCATTATGCGAAGCGCTGCAGACTTCCAGGACTGAGCACTCACAAGATCCAGCCACACTGCGCTGTTTCATCACTTTCTGATTAGCATTTTCTCTAATTACTTTGCTAGATTCTTTTTCACACCAGAGGAACCCATTTCAACCTCTTTATCATTCTGACACCATTGCATCACTGCAGGGTCTGAGTCTAAACAGAACTTAAAAAACAGTGAAGAAAAAAAGTATTCAGCAATTATTCCCTTTAAATATCGTACACTAGTTAAAGAGCAAATGCCATAGATCTTAACTGCTAATCATAGACCAAGGCTCGGATTCTGAATACAGCTCTATAGTGCTAAATCCATACTAACTCCCTTGATTTCACTAGAGTCCCTTTGACTTTAGCAGAGATACTCTGGATTTATATCATGTGCCTGAGATCAGAATCTGGCCCCAAATGCCTTTGGCAACTTGAGCTTCCTTTCCACACATTTTTTGGTTAGACTGTGATCTGCCAGAGAATGATAGGACTCTTATACATGCATTGATGAGATTTTTTGTGCGGGTTAATTGAAAAAATTAATGATGACTGCAGGTCTCTTGTCTCTGCTGCATGTTGTCAGAATTTGGGGAGGAGGGCATCTTAGGAAACTTATAAAGTACAGCAAGGAGACAGGGGCCGGCTGAAATCTTTGGAAATTAGCGATGTAAATCAAAGCAGCCCTTGGCCAGCTTTCAGTGGTGCAGGAAGGGTTTGAAGATCAGGTCACTTCTCACCCTTACTGTGTCATATGGCACATACATGTGGCTGAAATGTTCTTGAGTAATGCACCAACCACAAACAGGCTTCTCTTCCACATTGGCTATGCAGGACCTTAAAAATTAGGATTAAGCTTCAATATACAGTGCGCTATTTCCTGCTCCGTTCGGAGAAAAAAATCCCACTGAAGTCAAAGGGACATTCTGGAGGTGTGTGGATTGGAGGTAGAACAATGGTTAGCTACTGTGGATACTTCAGAGGAAACCAATTCTGCATTCACATTTGAGTTCCTCTATATCCCTCCTGCCAGGGCAGAACGTGAACCTTGCACCTTGCTTTATGGTGGACGTTCTGAGCTCCATTGGCATAGGACAACAGCCTGTGTCTACTATTTCACTCCCCCAAATGGTGCTCTATTCTGAGGGTAAGCAGGAGGGAGCAGGACTGAGTTCTTGCCCCCACGTAAAGCCCTTGTACCAAGAGTGTGTGGTAGCAGCCACTTTTCAGCGTTCCAAAGAACAGATTGTACTGAAAAAGTTAGACCATTAGTTCCCCATCCAATTCTTGTGCATTTGCCATTGATGAGGCCTGCCTCTCTTTAGCACAATGGTGTGGAAAGCACGCAGCACAACTTACAACTTGCACTGTTATCTCTTCCAAAAGTGCACCCTTGATTCCTGGAGGGGAAAGCTGAATTCAAACCCAGCTTGCCCAGATACAGTGCAAAGGCTGATGGTGTACAGCTCTTTGGACAGAATAGCATGCAGTGAAGGCGCTCGTCCAGCCACACACAAGAGCTGTGGGGAAAACAAAAACTACAGCAAAATAACTTTGATGTCCTGGCTGTGAAAAGTGCAATAAAAATCAGGGCAAAAACAAAAGTCAAAATAGGGCATTTATTTTATTTCACCTCAGTTCTTGTATTGGCATTAGGATTTCAATATAGAACAATATTTCTATTAGCTCCATGCTGGTAAGAAAAATGAAACTATGTTATTTTTAAAGATTATTTTTACTTACCTGGTGTTTCCAGCTACATCTCCCCCGTGCATCTGTCACATACACCGTCTTTTGACAATGATTGACTGACTTTTCATCCATACTCTGAATATTGCGGCACGGGGAATGCTGTATTTGAGTAGAAATGTGCTGATCTAAGAGTTTAATGTAACTTTGAATGTTCACACAAAAGCACAGCGCATGAGAGCACCCTTTCTATACAGCTGCTCTGAATAAGTCAGTGAAGTTTGCAATGTTATAAAGACAGGGGTCGTTGTTCAGCAGCATTTGTAGGCAGACTCTTGTTTCACAATATGTCTTAAACCTTGAGCTGTAGAGTGAGGGTGCTATTATAGTGTTATTACTGAGTTATGTCTAAAATTACACAAACCAAGGGTATAATGTAATTGTTTGCTCTAAGCACAGCAGATAAGGCCTGATCTCTTTCTGATTCCTGTCTCTCTAGACTCTTGGTACTTTTGCTTTTTTCCAAGACCATGGTTCACTTTTCTTGTTGTTTTATGGGCCAGATTCTGATCTTCGTTCCATCAGTGTCAATCAGGGGTAACCCCACTGGCTTGGATGAAATTGGTTATGCTGGTGTCAATATAGAATTATTCCATTGCCAGCAATGGCATTATCCCAGAATGACACTGTTGCAACTCAGATCCCAATCCGACCCTATCCCACATAGTTAGAAACTGTTTTGTTTCCACTTTGCATAGAACAGTCCGGTGGTGCCAACTCAGTGATCTAAGGCCTATGTACATGACAACAAAATCTGCATTAGATAAATCCAATTTTAAAAACAGGCTTAGCCCGAGAGAAGTTTTCTTATAATATGGAGAGGACCTAATTAGTAAGTTGCCTACAGAGCTATGCAGACATTGGTCTGATTTCCTGGTGGTTATGTCTCATTCCCTGAACTGGACCTGACCATAAAGTGGAGGCAGCATGATTAGCCCCTCAGGGAGTGTTTCTTGTAACTCAGCAAAGAGCCCACCAGGCTGCAAACAGGCGATATGAGTGCTGTCAGTCTCCCTTAGTTGAAGACTGATGATGGGGTCTTGGGAGGATGAGTTATGGCTACCACTCAGGGGTCGGAGGAAGGATATTCTTGCTCTCAGTGGTTTGTACGTGCACACAGCACACTGCTGCAAGATCTCTTGGAATCCTTTAGAGGAGTCGGAGCCTAGTCCAGTGTTCTGAACCAAAATTTCCCCTTCCCAGCTATTGTGCCCCAGATAGTTGTCCCCTTTGCCCCCGAAGTGGCTCTGGGTTAGTGGTGGTGTTTGTTCATAGTAGGGATGCAGGAAGCATTTTGTTATCTTTCAGGGTGAAAGTTGATACACAAAATAAATGTAAAATATTATTAATTTCAACTATTATTAAAATTCTTTCCCTTCTGGTCCTTCAGCCGTATCTTTACAAAGACGGTGATGTCACCACTTGCAAATAGTCAAGCTTGATTTTGTAAAAAATGAAAACTTGATCACTAAATATAGTAGAACATGCAATGTAATGGCAAGTGTCAAATTCATGTCCGTCACTCCCCTAATATTTTAACTTAAACTTGCTATCTACAGTATTGCACTGGTTACGGCTTGACTAGGCACACAATCTCTTTTGTAATTCCACCTTTCACATATTTACTCTAGGTTGGGGGCATTACTGTAGAATTTAAGAACAGGTCCATATAGGCTTTGGAGTCCAGAGATTGCAGCCCTGATCCTGCAATTGGCTTCATGTGGCAGAATCCAGTCTGCCTGTGCAGAGTTAATTGCAGCATTGGGACATTGGGCTCCCCTCCTCCAAACATTATGCAAATATTTAATGTTGAAGTCAGTAGGGCTACACACAGGGTTTGTAAAGTTAAGCATGTGCGTAAGTCTTTGCAGGATTGAGGCTCTGGTTTGCACACCTGCTGTATCACTGACATGATGTGTGACCTGGGGTCAGTCAGTTAACTACTCTAGCCCAGATCCTCAAAGGTATGTAGGTACTTAACTCCCATTCCCTCCCCTGGAAACCACTATCAAAGTGCAGAGTATTGTCACTGCGAAGCCATGGTGATCAAGGGAAAACAGGGAGAAAAACAGGTAAAGAATCGTTGGTATCACACTGTTAATTTGATATTTACAATGTTTGGTTGAAATATGGGGAACCTATCACATGTATATTATCAGTACAAAAACCAACATCTCATTTCTATTCATGCATATTGCACTCAATGGTGTAACACACTGCATAAGAGATAAGAAACGTCTTAGGATAAGAACAGGGTGAGGTTTTATATTTTGCCGTGGCCTACTTAGCAAAGGAGCACCAGATTCACACTTTATATATAGCTGCTTTTGCTATGAAATACTCAGTGCTAACACCTGTTATTCCACAGCTTGCTGCACTCATAGCATTGTCTGTGTGCAGCCTGCTTGTGGTATTTGATCTTCTCCTGTTTAACTGCCATTGCTTTTAACTCTCTAGCACCTGTGGCCAGCATTGCATATGGCTGGCGATGCAGAACAGGATCTGAAAACACTAGAACAAATAACAAAAGAAGCCTTGCAACTGCACAGTGGGAGCGAAAGGATCATTCTGAATATAGTCTGTGAAACAGCAGCACTATCTACACTGATGCCAGGTATAATGGCTATATGCTCTTACACCTTCAATTTACATTGGCAGCACTCCGGATTCTACTCGTACGATTTCATTCGGGGTAATGTCAGACCCAGCCTTAGAGTTAAAAAAGTGACCACCATGTTCTGCAGTAATAGCCCCAAACACTCCAATATCCCTGTAGTAAGATGTAGTATTTGGGCCATTGCTGTAAAATACTATAACTTTTTTAAAATGAGAGCAGCTATGGCTCAGTGCTGTATTATGCTTTGTCTTTAAGACAAGGCGACCCTAAATGATCCCATATGTACTTGAAACATTGATCTTGTTTAATGACACATATTTGCCTTCATTAATCCTGAAGTTCCATAGAATTTGCTCTATTACTCGGTGCCACTGTGGAAACAATAGGCCAAGAGTAAACCAGCATTGTTCTATTGAAATCAACAGAATTGTGTTGATTTTCACCAGCTGAGGATAATTTCTCTGTATATGTTATACATTTCTGGCAAAATGTGCTTATTCTTACTCAGACAAGTAGACCTGCCACATGAGTAAGCGGAGCAGTATTTGGTCCCCCTTACCATAGCTAACATTTGCTAACACATCAGAGATAGTTAAAATTACAACTGGACGGGGAAAGGTAAATATTTCTTGCAGATGTTTTGGGGGGGGGAAGGGGGGGGCGATTTTTGCAAATATGCTCTGGCTTTTTTTAAAATGTGAAACTGGGGGTGAAAATCCAGGCTATGTGTTGTGTTTGTTTGTTGGTTAGTTTTTGTTAGGCGTTGCAAAATGATAAACTTTGAATGGAAAAAAAATTTCCACAAAAATTTTCATTCGGGGGACAAAAGTTCATTTTAAATGCAGGGAAAAAAAAGTTTTGATGGGAAAAATTTTTCACTTAAAATCTGACAAAATTGATCAATTTTGTGATCGTTATAATGCATAGCACAAACTACAGTACTGATCTATTTAATGTACTCTTGTATTGTGCCATTCTACGGTATGTATTTTATGGTAAGTTTTGCCAATTGGTTAATATATACAAAAGGGACTGTCACAGATATAGTTCTAAACTATAGAATTTTTAACATAAGCTGAATTACCCAAACTGTCCCACTTAGCCTGTGTCATTTTTATATTCTGCTTACAAACCCTGCAAATACACACCTGACATATCATTGCCACGGATTCATTTTCTAATAGTAACAGATGATGAGGATCAAAGTATAATGTGAAATTTAATTTAAGATACATGCACAGTGCAGGAAAGGTTGAAAAACCAATTTCATGTTAAAATGTGTAGTGTAAAGAGTTTCTTTAAAAGGGTATATATCCCAAATAGTTCTGTGAAAATCCACTGGCTTTAGTTGGGGTCCTTTCGCCCTACCCCCACCACACCATTACTTGTATTTGCATGATGAATTTTATATTATATTTGTTTAAAACTGTAAGGCATTACAGCGCTATTGTGATGGGCCCCAGCGAAATAACCCAGGGCTAGACAGTTAAAAGCCTTTAAGAAAAAGAGTAAGATCTCAATCCTACATTAATGGCGCATACACATGCTTATCTTTAAGCACGTGAATAGGACCACTGAAGTCAGTGGAAGTCTGCACGTGTTTGCAGGATTGTGCTTAAAGCCCTAATTGGACTAGGATGTTTTGCCACAGGGATGTTTTGCCTCTAGACTCTCTGGCCTTTCCAGATTCCACTTTATGTAATGAAACTGCCCATCCTCCATTACAAATCTGTGGGGGTTGGTATGACATGAAAATGAATTTACTATGAATTTGGTTCCTTATAGGATGAAAGTCAGATGCAGTTTTCCTCACTAGTGTTTCAAGCAGTCCTCCTGGTAAGCACAAAACTTCCATTGACTTCCATGTGTTCCAAGTGTGTAAGAGCAGCTGAAGCCAGAAGGAGCTTGATCTTTGTGGTTCCTCGGGCATTTAGGATCTTAGTCACTTTGTTCTTGTTGCGAATGTTCTGAGCCACCAACAATATCTTCTGATTAGAAACCTCAGGTGCTGTTTTCTCCCCACCAGTTCTATTCTACACATAGTTCCACATGCCTGAATCCCTTGAAAGGTTCTGATCAGCCCCTAAGCCCAAAGCTGTTACTTTAATTTCAACCTATTTATTTTTCTTAGTTTCAACCAGAATATCTATTTTATTTGGTTTTCTGTATTAATAATTTAATGTAACTAAAATACAGATTGTGGTTTCGAAGCAAATTTAAAAGGATGTTCTTGAATTCTATTAGAGTGCTCTGCTTGCTGTCTGAATGTGAGACTAACGTTTTAATAGAATATACCGGACTATTTCAATACTATATTACACTGGACTGCAATGCACACAACTTGCTTTAGCAAATGGAGTGTGATCCTACAACCCTTATAGGAGCAATCTTTATTCATGCAAATAGTCTTAACTAGGGCTGGACTACTGGTATGAGCAATGTTTACTCTCACAATTAGTCACTCTTAAGAGTTCATATATTATGGTGATGTACGGTATGCACATCTTGATGGAGTAAGGGATGCAGGTTTGGGCCCATCATTTGTATTTCTCGCTGATATGTTTGCTGTAATATTATTATTAACTGCTATAGCATGGCAGGTAGTTCTCTTATTTTTATATTAAACTGCTATTTCTTTCAAGCCTGTATATTCTTCTTCTTTAATGCCGGTGATGTGCTAGATTCCACAAAATAGAGACAGTCCCTGCCTCAGAGAGTTTATAATCCAAGTACTATTTGTGAATCTACCAGTGCTGGTGTACCTCCTGCATCTCATTTACAGTATACAACAGTGAAACTGATCAACAACACCAACATTGCCTGTCTGTATTAAATCAGTCAATCTGGTTAAATCAACTCTCAGTTATAACACCAACGCAAGAACTCTGAATTTCTGGAATGAAACTGTTAGTGAAAAAGTGAAATTGTGCAAGACAAAGGGACTGGGTATCTAGTGGCCACGACAAGGCACCAGAGCTGGGTATTTCATGGGCACAGAAAGAATGAATTGACACATGTAGTCACCATTTCTTTGTCTAAAGAAAAGGCTGCTGCTGATTGGTTCAGTCCTGCAAGGGGCTGAGCCAAGGGAACCCCCCCATCCTGAAGTTAGATGGAACCAAGGGCACTCAGAAACTCACAGGACTGGGCCTGCACGTAACCATGAAGCAGGAAATGCTGATCTAAGAGTTACCGTGACATATGCAGATTACATTAAGAAGTCTCATGATGGCCACAAAACACCTGCTGCCACAGCCTTGTATTTTACACTGGGGGGAAGGGAGGTGTAGAATGGATTAGGTTTTAGTACAAAGAAGATGTAGTAACTGACATCTTGAGAAGGCCGGGGAAGCAGCAGAAGCATGGATAGAAAGTTGTGCGCACCCATCATTAGCCACTCAAACAATCTGCAAGGTCATCTGCTAGAGCCGCAGAGGAGAGTAACCGGGCATGGTCCAGGGTGTCCTGTGTTTGTTCAAGTGTGTGTGTGTGTGTGTGCTCTGACCTAAGAATGGTCTCTGTGCTGCTACCAAAGGCACCACAGCTGCACCGGGATTGTGGCTGGATCTGTGCCCTCACCACAAAACATTTCATGCTGGGATGCAGGGAACCCCATGGCACACAGAGATTGGAGAACCAATGCATTGGCTCCCCACATCCTGTTCCCCCTCCACCTCATTGGTTCCACTGCCTGTCAGGTTTCATGTGCCTGCAGACGAGGGGTAGGTGTGATTTGCTTTTAACCCTGGTAGGTATGATGTATAGATGAACTGGTGGTCCCCGCATATTGCTGCTCTTCTGATGCCTTTGTGCTCCTGGGAGGTACTTAACAGGGCTTTCATGCCAATTAAATTTGACTTAGTGGCTGATAAGATGTTTTCTGTCCTTTTGAAGGGAACAAACCCCTACTAGTATCCTCCCACTCTGTGCTGAAGTTAGCAATACGCTGCCTGTGGGGTTACATTGAATAATATAATGAGGAAACTTTATAGTGACATGCAGATACAAGTGCTGGGGAAAAGAGCTTTCATTATACCCTTAAAATGGGGAACACAGATGCCTCCTATTACAGACCCACTAGTTCTTTTCAATGTCTAGATCCTACCAATATCTTAAGACAGCAGAATAACAACCTATGGCATTGAAAGCAACATCAGACAGAGAAGGAAGGATAGCCCAGGGGTTAGGATGTTAGCCTGAGACTTGGGAGACCTGGGTTGTTTCCTGCTCCACCCCAGATTTCCTGTGTGACCGTTAGCAAGTCAGCCTCTCTATCCTCAGTTGCCATCTGTAAAATGGGGCTATCAGCACTTCCCTTCTTCACAGGGGTGTTGTGAGGATAAAGCATTAAAGGTTCTCAGATATTGTGGCAATGGGGGCCCTATAAGGACCTTAGAGAGACAATACATACATCTGCATATATATATATTAAAAAAAAATCTCTCCTTACTGTTAGAGGTTGTTTCTCTTTGGCACTGTAAAAACTCCACTGAATGAAAAGTGACTCCAGAGACTTAGTTGTTGTGTATGTGCAGAGAAGAGTGGCATTTCCACCAACAGTGATGTTCACCAGGCTCTGGGGAGCTGTCACTGTCACGCCGCTGATGTGGCCTGCAGGGAATAAGCATGGTGAAGGGAGATCGGTCAGGGGCAGCTGCACATTAAGAAATGCTGCTTTGAGTTCTGTTGGACTGGTCCCCCTCCACCCCCCTGCTCTGCAGGAGACAAGTGATAGCCCTTTTCACTCTGTTCAATAACTTTTTCCGTGGTGGTGGGATGAGTGTTCTAGACTGAGTAGCTGGAGAGGGATGAAGATGAAACAGGACCCAGATCCACTACAATTTCATGCCCTCTTTTAAAAGAAAAATAAATCTCTACGTTTCCTAGGCCTGGTCTACACTACACAGTTACATTCTTTCCCAGCTGAGTGCTCATTGCTGCTTGGAACGTGTACTCTTATTTCCCAGCCAGATCATTCAATCAAACAATTTGTATAGTGGGGTGCTGAGAGCCATTGAACCAAACTGTAAACATTGTATATAATGGAAATGGCTTCACGCCAGGGAGTGCAGCAGCACCCCCCGCACGGCTAGTTCCAGCTCCTGTGCATTCAATTTTTTTCCAGCTCCCCCTTGCTTCCTTGCACTTCTTCCTCCCAACCACCATCATAGCTCCTTGCTCTGCCTCACCCAAGTGGTACCATGCAGCACCATCCGCCCCAGACAATATGGCCCTTTTTTACATTTATCCCCAAGCAGGGCCAGCTCCAGGCACCAGCTTAACAAGCAGGTGCTTGGGGCGGCCAAGGGAGAGCGGCGGCACCTGTGGCAATTCGGGGGCGGCAGGTCCCTCTCTCCCTCTAGGAGTGAAGGACCTGCCGCTGAACTGCTGCCGTCGATCACGGTTTTTTTTTTTTTTTTTGCTTGGGGTGGCAGAAATGCTGGAGCATCGGTGGTGAGAGCTAATTAGGTGCTTTAAAAATGTATAAAAGCCCTAAGTATTATTTACCACTATTTTTCTAGTGGATAGTGTGAGCTGATATATTGCGTTATAGTGAGATTAGAATTTATTTTTATGGTCCAGTTATCATTTTTGGAATTGTTTTCCCCTTCTGGGATAACAATTCTGTAAAACTGATCAACCTACAGGCCACATGAAACAAATGGAGTGGAGATCAAAAGTAAATATTAAATATTTAGTACACCATTAAAAGTGTCTATTGCAATTACAAATAATAACTGGCTGTTTGAACACAGTTTTTTGCATACTTTCCTGTAATTCTGACAATAATTCTTGCCTTACTTACCCATTGTGCACCAGTAATGTATATGATAAGCTTGGCAAAATTTGATTTTTAAAATAATTATTATATTTAAAACAGATGTTTGTTTATAAGCATTATTTTCTATTTTTATCAATTCCATGGTTGTGGGGAAATTATAGGGCGGTCAGACAATAATTATTTGATGACCGTAGATGTTGAGATTCAAAATAAGTTCTCAAGCAGCATTTTTCTTACTTTACATATCTGTAAATTCCAATTAGTATCGAGGGAAATATTTTTTCATTGGTCTGTGCATGTGTGGGGAAATTGACGTTTACGACATTTACAAATAAAAATGTAATCCTTCAAAGCTTAGGTATTTCTTATGTACCTAGTTATCACATTGAAGTTAATCAGAGTTGGAAAGAAATGTTGAATTAGGCCCAACAAGTTATACAAGGCAACAAGGTAATGGAATTTCATCTGTTAGTCAAAAAGAAATAATTAAAGTAAAGCAATCTGGACTTCAGCAGAGTGGGGGTTTTGTTATACGGTTGAATCCAATTTTCAAGCTACAGCTTTAGGATTCTGATGGTGCATCTGTCTAGTCTTAAAATGTTCCACATTAAAGAAAAACATAAGGTTCCTGTAGTTTCCTGTGTGGGAATTAGGTGTGAAAACTTTGTATTGAAAATATAATGCTCCAGATGGGCTTGTTCCACTTACAATTAATTGAGATACTAGGTATGAAATATTCTTACGAAATTTGAAGGAATAGTTGTGCATTTTTTCGTAGGGGGCTATCGCTGATTTTTAAACAGAATTCCTCACTAACATCAATAGGGTATTCTGCTTCAATAATCCATGGTATGATACGATCCATAGTGTGAAAAGAAATACCATAGATTCTGATATATTTTAATTTTATAAATATTCTTTCTTCATCAGCTACTGCAATGAGTGAAAATATTTTATAAATGATTCTAAGCTCTTCAAGGCAGGGACCACGTCTTCCGATGTGTTTTTACAGCATTGTTCTCACTGAGGCCCTAATCCTGACTGGGGCCTCTCTATGAGCATAAAATAAATATTAAATAATACTATCACTCTGGGTGTTTGTGTTAAGATATCCTCTTCAGTATTAACCTCTAGAGCTGTCTGGAGGAGGACAATTCTGTTCCATGACAACTTCCCAGGTTTTAAAATTGGTTTTCGTTCTACATTAGAACAAAACCAAAATCTTTCAAACATTTTAACAAAACAGCCTTGTGTCAAAATGTGTGGGTTCCGATTGAAAAGGACAGGTGTTGGAGCTCTCTCTCTCTCTCTCTCTGTCTCTGTGGTCAGAAGGGCCCAGAGAGCACTGAACCTCAGAAACCTTCCTGTCAAAACCATTGTTGAAATCGATACATCTCTGCACAATGTTTTGGTTGCGACAAATTAGTGTATTTCAATGAAAATACATTTAACTGGAAATATTCCAACCTGCCTTATTAACCACGTCGGGCACTATCCTGCCAGCCTTTCTCGTCCAGTGAGACTGCTCCTAGCCAGTGCCGGTAGCAAGTTAGCACTCGCTACTGTGTTTGTAGGGCTGGACCCAAAGAGCCCGATCCAGCAACACTGAAGTCAATGGGAGCTTTGCCATTAACTTCAGTAGGTGCAGGATCAATCCCATAGCCCTTGCTCATGCAGGTAGTCAGAGACAAAATGTGAGCAAGAATTACTCATGTGAGAAAGCTTACGTGCTCGATTTTGCAAGCCTTTCCTTACAAGTATTTAATCTGTTTCTATGCTTAGTCTATGGGATAGCTATGAGAGATTTCCTTGCTACAAAAAAAGTTTAATATATAGTTTTTAATGGTAACAAAATAAATTAAGCAGGAAGCCAAACACTCTGCTAGACGCCAAAAAAACGTGGATGCAATAGAGACACTGATTGTATGTCTCATTACAACAATCTGTAACCCACTGAGGCCATGTCTACACTAGCGAGTTTACAGTGTAGAAGCTCTCTGCTGGCGGGAGAGCTTCTGCCACTGATCTAGCACTGTCTGTGCCGGCACTTCTGTCGTTTCTTTCACACCCCTGAGTGACATAAATTATACCCACAAAAGTGGTAGTACAGACATAGCCTCACTCTCCTTTTGTCCTATGACTACAGAGGTGTTAGTTGCTCACTTCATTTTGAATGAGTTTTTGCAACATGAGTTAACTCCTTATGCTTAACAGTCTGGTCCACCTTTTATTTAGCTGTGACACTCTGATTACCTTTCCCAGACCTGAAGAAGAGCTCTGTGGAGCTCGAATGCTTGTCTCTTTCACCAACAGAAGTTGGTCCCCCCAAAAGAAGATATTACCTCACCCACCTGGTTTCTAACAAACTAAATGTAGTTTTGGTATTTTGATGCTGGGCAGTTGCAGAGGTCTGCACTGCTGATGTACATAGTCCGAGTTTCCATAGTGAACATCTGCACCATTTGAAACATAAATCTGTAGTTTTAAAATTTAAACCAAATTGTTTCACTGAACACCTCTACTAACATTGAGTTGCTTTACACTTCTAAGGTAACTAGCTATACTTAAAAGAAAAATAAACCTGTGTATGATAAACAAGTCAGGCATAACTGCTTAAATTGTTCATATGATCTCCAGAAGAAATAATAACATCTCAAAGTCTTTATCTTGCAAGGTGCATCTGTGGTGTAGTGAGCACCCTCAACTTCCATTTTCTTCAGTAGCAGTTGAGGATACTTGGAACCTCACAGGATCAAGCTTTTAATGTCTATTTCTACATGTCTTAAAAGTAATACTCAGCGTAACTAAACTTCCTTTAAGCATTAATAACGTATAAGTCTTAATATACCATATAAATCCCAGATTTCACAAAGATTTACATCCGTATTTAACTTTAAGCATAGGAGTAGACGCAATAAAGTCCAAAGGATTATTCACATGCTTAAAGTGAAATACGAGCCCAACGTCGCCAAGTCATTAGTTCTCAAGGATATAGCCCATAGAAACAAGACAAGAGCGCGAACAAATCTAATTTTGAGATGCCTGAAAAATGCTAAAGCTTACTCTTGCCTCCTACTCAATTTACAGCAACAAAGCATTTATTTACAGTAGGCAATGCTAAAATAGTATCCTAAGACAATATACTAAATCACTATTCTGTCTGTTACGTTTCCACAAGATATTTTCTTTGGATCATCTCCACAGTTTTCATTCCAGCTAGAAGTAAATCTTTGATGTACTCCTACTTTGCTGGCAAAGTTCGCCTGCTATTTTATTTGTCCTTTGTTTTTCTCACCTGAGAGGGCTGCTATAATTGCAAATATCTTCAGCATTGTTGCAAACATCTTCTCGAAGTCTGGAGAGAAAAGAGCCCAGATGCTGCTGCTTACATGGACTAAAACTCAACTGATTTTTTTTTAAGTGGGTTTTTTGTTTTCCTTATCAGCAGCGTATCAACGAGTCAACAGGCTTTTTTGTTTTCCTCCTTTATCATCTATAGACCTTTCTCAGAGTAGTTTGTGACTGTTCAGTTGAAACCATTTCATGGGGTGTGCGCGCCTGAGACACTTGTTAATAATAAACCCTAGAATTCTGCAAATCACATAGGGTTAGGTTCTACCGCCATTACTCATGCCAAGGCAGTACTTGGCTTCACAAGTACTCCCAGTGACTCCAGTGGGACTCCTTGTAAAGTACTACTCAACATGAGTACAGATAGCAGAATTTAGCCCCTGGTGAATAAGGGTGACAGAATTTGGCCCTTATTCCTCGTTAAGAAAAAATTCTATCATTTGTTTTGAAAAATGGATACTGTGGCAATAATGCTTTGAGTATGTTTGAAAAATGGAAACCCGTAGTTATATAGAAATGCTACATTGTGCTCTCATGCATAATTCTGCTTTGAAACATCTACAGGGAGCCCATACAAGAGACAACAGCCTAAAATAAAATTAAAGGAGCCTATTTTTTTTTAATAATGGAATATAATTGATTTTGATCCATGTACTTGGATGGTGCTAACAAATTTGAGAAGAAAATTGCACTGTGACTTTATTTTGTTTTGTTACAAAGAGTTAACAAGATCCTTGTCATAAAGGTAAATCCCAAAGGGACGTAGCCTCCTTGCAGATCAAGCTCTCTAGCTAGGTCCTTAAGAGAGTCTGGCTGGATATTCAGCCTATATCCACCACCTCCAGAACTTAGTAGGAAAGCAGGGTAGTCCAGTGGACAGAATTTAGGACTTGATGACCTGGGTTCTGTTCCTGGCTCTGCTGGTGACTTTGGGCAAGTCATTTAATGGCCCTGTGATTCAGGTTCCCCACATGGGAATAACCATGCTCACCCCTCTTTGTAAAACACTATGTTGTGTGGCGGCAAAGTGCTATAAGAGACTGAGTGTTCTATTAATGATAATGATTCATGAGATCAGGGGCCTGTTCCTGCTGGGGGCTGACCACCTCCTGGGAGTCAGTGAAATTCACCAGGAGCGGTGGGAGCTCCAACTCTTGCAGGACCTGGCTCTCCATTCTTTATTCCATCCACTTCGGTTGATATTGATTCAGAATCACAAGTCGCAATGATTAGAGTTGTTTCCAGTTATGCAACATTGTACATTTAGGTGGATGCATGACAGAGGGCAGTGCTGTCTTTCTCCTATGCATAAGGCCACATGTATAGATGGGGTACTGGAAGCAGGCATGAACCAAACCCCAAGACTCAAGCTCCTCCCCCAAACTTTGTGAATGCATGGCTCTGGGTGCATACTTGGTAATCTATGCCTATCACTACAGGTGATCAAATTTGATGGACCATTGATCTGACCAAGTTAGGTGAATTCTATTCTATGTTCCAATATTTCTCTAGCTGAAAAATGCCTGAATATTTCCGCGCCCCCCCCCCTCCCACACACACATTTTTGCTCTGTCTTTGGGTATGCTCTGGACAAATGTCAGGATTTGATATTATTCTTCCATGGACCACTTCTATAAGTACTGGATAAAGTGTTTGTTTTTCCTACTTCGTGCTCCTCACAATGTTCCTACAGGGTAGCAATATTTCCCCCATTTTATCTCTGGAACAGTGACTTGATCAGAGCTGACCTAGAGGGGCAACTGTAGATTCTGGGATTCAAATCCCAGCCCAAGTCCCTCCCAAAATTCACCTCTACCTCGATATAACATGACCTGATATAACACGAATTTGGATATAATGCAGTAAAGCAGTGCTCCGGGTGGGCGGGGCTGCGCACTCCGGTGGATCAAAGCAAGTTCAATATAATGCGGTTTCACCTATAACGTGGTAAGATTTTTTTGGCTCCCGAGGACAGCGTTATAGCGAGGTAGAGGTGTATAAAAGTGTTCAAATTCAAGATATTGACCCATTCCCAAATAAAACATTTAGGGCCAAATTCTGCCCACAAATGCACATGGGAAGCACCCGTTGACTTTCATAGGATCTGCTGGTGCATACTTTAGGCAAAACACATGCTAAGGAGTGAGCCTATGCTATTGTACCTGGTACCTGTTCGGAGGCAGTGGACATCCTGACAAAGGATCTTTATAACTTACATGACCACCCAGTTATAGCCTGTGGTATTATATAGCCCCATTATTATTATACTGCTTTGCTCCTTTCCAGGTAGCCTTGCCAGGATTCCCCCAGCAGAGAATCTGACTAGGAGCTCTTAAATTACTGATCCCTGTAGCTGGCAAGATGATGCCAAGAAAGATTGCTGTCCATACCTGCATGGCCCAAGGGCCTGTATCCTCCTCTAATTCCCTGTCATTTAATAGCCCAAATGCCTCTCTTTTGTCTGACTCTCATGCAGGGAGCCTCGCTGAGTATTTTTTTTTCTTCCCCTCACTTTACATTGATTTTTGTGTGAATTCAATGCTTGTGAAAGGTGATAGTTTTATATCGCCTGGAGGAGGATGTTCTCTGTTTATCCACCGAATAGGAAGAGCACAGCCAGCAGCACAACTTCCCCACCAATGAGGGACACGTGGATGAGACTACCAACAAAGTTGTCAATCCGTGCCAATGGTGGTGGTGACTTGTGTGATGTGGGAAGGTTTACTAGACACTGAACTGCAGCCATCAATCCCATTTCACACAGGCCATCAAACGGCCAAGAACTTTTGGCCATGGCCAGCATGGGCTGATTTCACATAGGCAACCTAGAAGTGAAATGGCATATATCCTATAATCCGTATCGTAGTCCAGCCAGCCTCTGTGGTTGAGTCTCTTGTGAAGATGACAGATAGAACCTGCCAGGATCTATTGTGCTTCTCACACAATAGACTGTAACAACATCTGTGGGAATCACAGTAGAAAGATGTCACCGTGTACAAAACAACTTCCCTCTATATTTTTTTTAATCAAATCATTCTTCCATGAAATGGAGGCTCTAGCTTCCCCAGTGGCTCAGCTTTCCTTCAGATAAGTGTAGACATTTTCAACAATGAGGATTAGTCAGTTTGCCGCAGGTGGAGTGGTAACTCTTATCTAAAGATAAGATGGGAAATGGAGAGGGCCAGTACCAGGAACTGCATGTTAACAGACTATGTGACTCAAACCTATGTACACTGAATCACACTCAGAAAGGTCCACTCTTAAATAATTCCCATTTAGACACTCTGCAAACACAAGCGTTACTCATTTAAAAAACAAAACCCACAGCCACATACTCATGGGAAGGTAGCAGGCCATCCATCCAGTCCCCAGACAAGCACTTACATGATACTTCAAGGCTGGTTATTTCTATATGAAGCCATGGCTTTGACTAATTAATAAAACTTCCTGAGTAACTCCACGTTTGGCTGGACTAAGCTCTGCAGCACTTTAAGCCCTTTGTGTTTCTGAAATATGATAAATAAGTTATTCCTCAAAGACACCAAAAACAGAGTAGAACCTGCTTCACAGAGTTCCCAAGCTCAGCATTGTATCTGATTGCAGTGGATGAACAGAAGAATTTAATTAAGTTTCATACAAGTGCAGAAATCGAATTTCTTTAAGCCCCTAAATCCATCATTAGGTTGACTTTCAAATGCACATGACAGATTGCTTGCTACTGTACAGCATCATTTGATGTCTAAAAAAATGTCTTATATAATGGTGCCTAGAGTGTTCTTTACCTCAAGGTGGTTTGGAGTTAACTGATGAAATGTCTGGTAGCTCTCTAAAGACTGATG